CGAAGAAGAAGAAGAAAAAGCAGCAAATCAATAAATACACAATTTAATTACAAATCTCTCGTTCAAACCACAATCGTTTGTAATATCAATAAATATAAAAAAGGGGTATTGAATATTGATAATTGGGTGTATTTGTTAAACTTTGACGATAATTTAGGCATTAGGGGGAGAATACTCACAAACCACTTCAGATTCAACTTCTCTTCTATGGAAATTCCTGTGGCAGCCACAAGCAGCACAAGTAAGAGCTCCATTAGAGCCTTCTTCTCCAGTGGCCAAGAATTCTCTGCAACCATCCACAGCATATCCTCCAATATTGGCCGCATGATTCTTCTGGCACTCCCCATATCTCACCACACTTCTCACCACTGAAGATGAAGTACTGCTGCTGTTTCTATTCGATGATCCCTCTGATCTTTTTACTACAACTTGTCTTTTCTTCATCATATATAATCACCCCTTAATTAGAAGAAGAAAGGAAAAAAACCCTAACTTTCTTCAGATGAAGAGCTGAAATGGGTGTGGGAATTTTGGGTTTATGTTTGATCTCCTCACTCTCATCAAAATCCCCCCCCCAAAAAAAAGTGAGGGGGGAGGAATCAGAAAAAAGAAAAAGGATTGATTGTGAGAATGCCTTTATTATCTCTTTCTCTTCTGGCGCCTATCAGCAATAACCCTAAACCCTAGCTAAGCTAGAGAGCTTTTATTTATAGGGCTTTACATAGTGGCATACCATAGGAGAATATTTCTAAAAAGATCACAATAACGTGGAATATGTTACAGCTGATTTCTCTCTATATCAATAGCAACYGGGGATTTTTAAATTGATGCACGCTTAACTTTAGAGTTATTATGATTAAGAGAAAGATATAGAACTATCAGTTCATCTATATATCCCTTCTATAGTAACTGTCAATTCTTTTAAGCCTATTTTAATCATGTTTTTATGATCTTAGAATTCTTCTCATTCGGATGTAGTAGTATCGATTCATCTATATATCCCTCTTGAGCGTCACATTAACACAAGAGTGGAGATTTGAACCGACGAATTATGGAAGAAATTGGAAAAATAGTGAAAGGGAGAAACGTAATAAAAAATAGTTTGGAAGGAAAGGGGTGGGGGAGGTTAGGGGTTGTATTTTGGGTATAATTAGTTGAGTTGGAATAAGGCAAAGATTGACACTCAACTTCATCTTGTCGACCAGTAGCCACACAGAATATCACCAAAACAAAACACAGTGCAACTTCCATTATCTTGCCTTCAACCCAAAAAGAAAAAAAAAAGCAATAAAAAGATATGATCAACAAAAAAAAAAACAATTTTTCTATGGAAATCTTATTATAAACTACTCGTCGTCCATGCTGCTACGTGTCTTTGGGGTCTCACAACTAAATTGGATATTATAAAAATTAAACACATGGGACAAAGAGCCCTACATACATACATATATATATATATATATATATATATATATATTATAATAAAGAAGTATTTTATAATTTGTGTTTGGAAATGATATTCCAACGGTCTTTTTAATTTTGTGGAAGACATTTCAACAAAATAATTGCAATTCCGCGTGTGTGTAGTACATCCATCACTTGTCTCTGCCTTTTTTCATTTAAATATATTTTATTTTTCGAAGAAAAAGAGAAGTGCTTTTTGTGGTTTGAAATTAGAACAAAACTTAGCTGGATATTGGATTATATTTGTTCTAAATTAATCAAGAGAAGAGATTCTTTTTTGTGGCCCTTTTAGAACAGTACCACCAGCAGCTAAAATGATTGGTATTAGCAAAGATTGTAAGGCCAAAATTGCTAAGGGAGACCACACCACCACATTCTTCTATACCTCTGGCCCTGAATTTTTTATATCAAATCAAACACATTCATTCTTAGAAATTAGTAAATTCGTTATAACTCAATTATTCCCAATCCCAAAATAGATAAAAAAAAATAAAAAATTGTGGGTTTAATTAATTGGGTTCCTGTGTACTTCTCCATTAGAGAGAGAGAGGGTTTGGTTTGTCTGTAAACCTTAAAATAGGAAGAAAATGAAAAGTTGTAGAGAATGGATGCATGATTAAGAGAGAATCATTGACACTGTTCATGTTCATGGTGGGTGCACCAGCCTAGATATTTTAATTCAAAGCAGCCAACCAAAAAGAAAATATGACACAAAAAGGAAAGAAGGGCATTATGGATTTTGTTAGATTAGTGACTACATTTTTCCTCTTTTGCTTTTTTCTTTTTCTAATTGAAAGTAGGGTTTGATTGTGAAAGAAGTGGGCTTCTTCAAATGAACCATGAGTAGAATGAGCAGCTTAGGGAACACAGTGGCGAATTTTGAGGGTATCACCTATCTTAAATTCTCAAGTTTGAGCCTTGCATTTGGTTACAGTGTTGTTYAACGGAAATAATTACTAGTCTCATTATTATAAGAAAATGCTAACAAATCTTATCCTCACCGCCACAATATACCCATATAGGGATATATTTAAATGCTTAGGTCAACACCCATTATAATTTTTTAAAAGTAAGAGAGAAATGTAAAATAAAATAGAGATATTTTAATTTTTTGGGTCAAATTTTTGAATAATAGTCGGTAGGAGGATGAGTAGTTACTGACTAGTGAATACTTAAAAAACTTGAATATTTTTGGTATCAAAATTCCAAAATTAAGGCTTCTGTTTTAATTATAAATTTTAATCAGAGAGACAAGGGCGGCAACATGTGCTTATTAAAGTGAAAATGAAGGTGGGACAATAACACATGGTTGTCAATCAACAATTTGTCAACGGAAAATTATACTTAATCATACTAACCCTCCATTGCCCTTTTTCCATATTAATTAACTATAATTTTCTTTCCTTTATAATTTACAACATTTATTTTTAGTTTTTTTCCAAGTGAAAACTTGTCTTTTATTGTTTCTTTCCCTAATATGCATAAAAGAAGAAGATCAAAACTCATTGGCTAAACCCATTTTCTTAAAACAAAAACAAAACAATAACTCTATTTTTTTTGAGTACAACATGTTAAGGAGGGGATTCAAACTCGCAATCTTATGGTTACAAGTATATGTCAATAACCGTTAAGCTATACTCACTTTAGCAACAATAACTCTATTTATATATTATTCTTCCTGGGTCTTTTCCATTTTAGTTTCATACCAACATTGTGTTTCTCTTACCTTATGCATGACCAAAAATGTGTGTATGTATGTAAATTAAAATATGGAGAGACTCGTTATGAGACAAATGTAAAGTTTAAAAAAGTTATTATTAAAAAAAAGAAGAGTTTTCTTAATGGCTATATATTTTCCCCATTGAATTGGAATGAATAAGTTCGGTAGACGTTGTCAACATACTTAAAAAGAGAAGATCTTTTTTTTCGATGCTAAAAAATGTTAGGGAATAATTTCTCCAGACGAAAAACATTCGTCGGAGAAGTCATCAGCATATCTCCATCGGGAGAAGTCATTCCCGACGTTTTCTAAACATTGGAAAAGTCCACCTCTAAGTCCCTAAACTTGATAAAGCTTTACCTTCATTTTCATCCCCATGTGTATTTTAAAATAATGATTTAGAAGGAGGGATTGCTTGTTTGCGCCAATCTTCATTTTCTTCCTTTTTAGAACACCACCAGCTTTTGAAGGGAGGGGAAAAAATGGTCACAAGCCACGATTTCTTTATCTTTTCGAGTGTTTTATTCCTAAATAGTATTTGGAACAATAGTAGTTACTATTTATGGATGGGAGAAGGGATGAAAAGTGAGAAAGAAAACTCCAATCTAGCTCCAAGACATTCCTTTTTTACCAAAAATATAATTGAGCTTTTTTCCTCCATAACTAGCTACGTTCAATTTCAATTTCCAACTTCATGTTTCTTTCTTAGATGCAAATTGCACACTGCACGTAATTCAGTTTCAACTTGAAGGCTTTCATTATTAAAGATGCCAACAAATGAAGATTGAATTGTTGTCTTGTCCTGGTTGGTTTAAGAGATCAATTTTGAAACATTCACCAATTAGTAGTTAATCCATATCTGGAATCTGTGCAGCTTCAGCCATGGGTTTGCTTTAGAGGCCACTTTTTGCTTCCATTGCACTGCACTTGATAATTGAATGCTTTCACAGAGAACATGGCCCGGAGTTTGTGGTAACGTAGCAACCTTCTTTTATACCCACACTCTCCATTATTTTCTTTTTCTTTCTTAATATGGATTATAACAAGGGAGGGATCACTATTGCTTTACTAATGCTACATTAAAAACTATACAAAATGATATATGGCGTGTGTTTGAACCACTTATAGGTGGTGGCGGTGTAGCCGAATGGAGATATTCCTCTCTCCAATTCGAGTTGTGCGGAGCGAATTAGTCAGGATTTCACCCCTCTCAAGYCATTTGAAGATGAGTCCTGCAACGTTAGTTATAGTGTTGGGTGGTTGTCGACACCCTCCAATTATAGGATCCAACTAGTCAAACCATACGACATGGATCAAGAAAAAATATTGGGTGTGTTTCRAGAAATGGGAATAGTGGGAAAGAGATTGTTAATAGACAATAAGATTGTTACGATGGGCATGGGCTCATATTGTAGCCTATAGGATAGGATAGGACCCTCAAAGGCTGAAATTGGAGACATTTTTTGGGCTGTGGAAATATCCTTCTTTCCCTTCCACAATTGAGAGGACAAAGCAACCACCCACTAATCAATACTCATCCAGCATTCAGCATTGGAATGGAATGGCCCACACGTACTCTTCGAATTTAAATGGTTTTTTCTATATTAAGAGTATGTTTGAAAGTGATTTTGAGATGACCATAATCAATTTTGCTATTGTCAAAATCACTCCCCTTTCATTGATGATGTTTGTCAAAATAAAAAATTGATTTTAGGAAAACTTAAAATCACTTAAATTTAATTCTTAACTATCATTTAGATTATGGTTTTGAAAAATCAATYATACTTAAATTTATTTTTTCAAAATCATTCGTTCTACTGTCACTTCCAAATACACCCTCAAGTTATCTCTATTCTCTATGCCCCTGAATCCTATATTCCTCGCCCTCATCCTCATATATCCCTAAAAATAAAAGATT